CTTTTTATACATAGTATTTTCTTGTTCTATTAAATGTTTCTTAGGCGAACTTTGAAGCAGCACTAAAAAAAAAAACGTTTTTTTGAGCTGTACAGTTATAGCTTCCAAACAATCCACTAACAAAGGTATTTCTAGAGGAGCAGGGATGGAAAACTAGATGTTGAAAATATTTAGTTTTAATGGTCTGAAATTTATATTCATATACATTCAGAAGAACTTTTTTAAATGACAGGTTCTGTTTCTCAGATAGCTTAACATTTACTGCCATTCAGCTCTTGTGCATGAGGTGGGTATAAAATTTTCCACCCAAATCCCTATTTTCCAAAGGAATTAAATGTTACCTGTAATCAATGAAAGACAGCAAATACATTTACTAGGGTTCCTAGAAGATTCTCTGACATTAACAGAATTTGTAAAGTAAGGTACAGCAAATTACTCCACTGAAGAATGCTTTAGGACTTCTTACCATGTTTCTTTTTGTTAAGTTCTATACAGTGTACAAGCTCAAACAATATATTTGATTTGATCCCTGCTTTGTTTCTTCAGTTTGGTGGATTCAAGTAAAAACGTTAATTTTGAGAAAGAAAAAATAGATGGTAATTAAAAGTTTTAAAGTAATTTTAACAAATTTTATGTTAATATTCCTTTACCTGAATCAATTCTGAATCAATTCCCTAGTCAAATAAATGCAATAAAAGCTCTTTTACCACATTGTATTATCTTCTCCCAATTTTTTTCTGAGACTTCAAACATTTTCTACTTGAAGTATAACACCACAACTCATTTTAATGAATGACATGATTTGTTTCTTGTGTTTCAGTTACACTGTGAACTTGTTAAAGGACAAAAGAGTTATAGCATTTAGCATTAGTCATACATATCACAACTGGGGGGTTTTAATTTTTTTATTAAAAACTTAACAGCTATTTCAACAAAATCATTTTTGCTCAGGTTATTAACAGAGCTTAAATACTGACAATTGTAAATCTCAGGAGTGAGAAGAACAATCAATAGCAACAACCGATAGGAAAAAATAAGAAAAATCACATTTTCAGTAAACTAGTAGATAAACCTTAAACACATGAAAACAGTATTTCTAAGAAAGTAGCAGAAATTATTCTGGAAAAGTTAAATTACTCCTCAAAGTTTCAGTATAGAATCAAACTAAAACTGAAAGAGACAAATGCAATTTTCATAATCTGCATGAATCATCTTCCTTGCCTAGTATATACATACACACATATTTCAGTGCTCTTCCCACTACTGTGTATCCTTGGAATCTCATCCTTTGACACTTTTTCTACCACTGGAATACTTTCAAAGCAGCTTTTATGTTTTAACATAGAACTTCATGTTAAAGTGAATTAATCTCCCAATAAAAATATATGTTTCCCCTCAAATTCCACAGTGGATACAGATGGCATGCTACAATTCCACCAGTCTGACTGGAAGACTGTTTTCTTCTGTCTAATACTCAGCACTGGCATGGATAATGGCATATTTTTTCAAGCAGGCACAGTCCAGTGTAACAACAGAAGTAACACTTAGCATTTCTATCACACTCTTCATTATAAAACAACACTAATTTTAACCAAGCAGTTCTTTCCAAGCTCTGTTCTGCCTTCTCTAATTTTTACACATAAACAACATTCTGTATCGATACACATACTGATTGCTAGATGTGTTCACCAGCTGAATGACAAGGTGAAGAGATGGCATAAGATTAAATGAGGAGTAAAGAATGTGTAAGAATAGGAGGGATGATAAAAGCAGAAATGCAAGGGGTGAGTGTGTTTAAACTTGTGTATGTGCACACACACATCATTAAGAAGAGTTTCTACACAGAACTATAAAGAGAAAACAAGGCGAGCAGAAGATAACCTACGAAATGGGAAAGATGATTGAAAGTAAACAGAAAGTAATGAACAGCATTGAAGGTGACTAAAGGAGACAAAGGAGAACAGAGCAAGAGGAATGAAAAAGAAGGAGGAAAGGAAAGATTGTAATAAAAGCCGCTAAGAACAAATAAAATACTTCAGAAACAGACCAGCAAAAAAATTTTAAATAAAAAACAGCTCAAGAAAAAAAAAGAAAAAAGAAAAAAGAAAGAGAAGAGCAAAAGAACAATAACCCTTAGTTACTTGACTAGAAAGCCTTTCTCACCCATAGAATTTGTTACACTGCTGTAATCCATCGCGTGTGGGTCCATACTGGAGAGCAACACCACACCTTTCTACATTAGCTTCCCCACTGGTTCACTATGCCCCTTGAGCACAGTTAACACTGTTACACAGTTCTTATCCAGCATCATGGTATCTTCAAATGTTCTTTAAACACATGTATGTGTATGCAAAGTCAGCTCCTACAAACTTAACTGTTTAGAAGGCAACTTTTTTCAAGAAGTAATTCCCCGGCAGTTGTCAGCAACCTTTCCTCCACAATTCTCTTTCACTTATTCCATACAGAGTTATCTCTCTGTTCTAGATTTTGTACTTGGATGCAGAAGCAGTTGCTTTGATTTGGCGGTGTCTCAGTATAGCAAAGTCATCCATCTTGTATTAGAAATAGGACTTCCTATCACAAAGGAAAAAAAATGATAGAGGAAAATCGGACAGCACAGGCATATGAAAGTTTAGAAGCCACATTTAGTAGGTTAGTGCTTGTTTTCAAAGGATTAGCAAACTCAAAACAAAGCTCAGTTTTCTAGATGTAGCAAAATACATCAGTACCCTTATTTTAATTACACTTTTGATACAAGCTGGTACTAGCTCTCTGACTTCTCTGTTTACACTGCCCTGCTTCTTACATCCCCTTCTTACTCTATAGTTTTATTCCTACCTCTGCTACTTTCTTTAAGAGTGCCTTACTTTTCCATTACATGCTTTTTTCTGTCTTGTTCTCTTGGTTATCCCCAAAGAAGTACTTAAACTCCAGTATGATGCCATTACAAGCCCATATGAACACAGCTAAACATCAAGAATTCTAGTGAAACAGAGGTTAGCACCACCCGCGCTGACTGGGTACCACACTGGCCGGTAAGTTGATGTAGAAACTTATCTCTGAATCTAAATAATACAACAAAGCTCTGCCGGGACCAGAGGGCTCCCTCACCATCTTTCTCTTCTCTTCTCTCATCTCCAAGAGTATCAGAAAAGTAACCACTGCAATAACCAAACTTCTAAGGAATATGAAGAATCCACCCTCAGTGCCCACCAAATGTCAGGTCATTGCTACGCCCGTTCCTTCCCCTGCCATTAAGTACCCTGCCAATGCAATGCTGTGAATCTGCACTGAATCTCCAAGAATTATTAATAATTACAGATATTAGAAGACAACGTGCATCCCTGCCTTCAATTTTAATTCACATTTCTGCTCACAGACCTTACTCAAGAATTACTGTTTTAAAAAACTGCGAGTGTATCTTGGGTTTACATGTGAGGTTTTGAATTTCTTACATGGCAAACCTACATGCTGAAGTCCTCTCTCACAAACCTTGGAGCAGCAGGAGGAGAACAACATGCCCACGCCCTCAGTAGAAAAGGAAATTTTTTTTGTGCAAACAGGTTTTGAACTGAGGAAACTTTCTCAAAAGAAATGAGGAGGGGTGTAACAGCATAAGGTACCTTTAAGCCTACTGTTAAGATGTAGTTGGGGACCTACTTCGGACCATATAAAAATTACTTCAAAATATATGCAGACTGTAGTTTGTACTAGGATTGTTTGTACCATCAATGCATTTTGCTCATAAATTCACATGATGATATATTTTTTAACTTAAAAAAATTATTCTTCATCTTAACATAAAACAATTGCAAATACAAATGCTACAAATACATACAAACATTCACGTATGGAAACATACAGAAATGGAATTATTTGGTGCAACAGTCTACAATATTGTTGATCAGATCATGTCATTCTGAAGTAGAATACAGAACATCTTTCCTAAATGATGTATTCCAGTTATAAAATAATAATAGTAGTGAATTAAAGGATGCTGTTTGGTGTTTTTTTAACTCACCATGGAGCTGGTAAATCACCCCCACACAACAATGCACTTTGTAGACATTTGTCATATATTGCAATGCCCATACTAAGGCAACACATCCCAGGAGTTGGCAGCCATGCTATCAGCAAGAATTTGGCTACAGAAACAGCAATGATTCATCATGCATTCTAGAAGCACTGTCGAAACAGCAAAACAACACACTGCTATTTTAATCCTTTAAAGGTAACAAGGGCTTAAAAGAATTATTATAAATTTGTCTGCAAAACCAAAGGAAGCAAAAAACCCAGAGTTCTAATAACGTATCTGAAAATGCATCTTAATTCTTTTTTTTTTTCCAGAGGTCAGAAAATAGCTATTTAGTAAAAGTGTCCACCAATTACCTCTCTATACTGTGATTTGTCAAGCTACATTATAGAATAAATGTTTTCCAATGGCTAAATCAAAAATAGTTTAATTTAGGTTGTATTCAGTTTTTAAAATCCTCTGTAGTAATTTTAAAAATAACCATCTGGACACATTTGCATTAATTAAAATCTATATTGCAAACAGATGATTTTCAAACTCACACTCTGGATGAAGAGCCAACAGCATAGCCAGAATGTTCGTTTCAACGTATGCATCACATGTATTATTGTCCCAATATTCACCAGGAAAACTGTTTCTCAGCTACCAATATCTGAAAATTTGCAAATAGCAGTGCAGGTCCTGTCAAAAGCTCGCAAGTGCTACCGATTTCTCTGATGAAGGCACTCTTCTCTTTTTTCCTCAGAATGTTTCAGTTAAATACAACTATAGGCAAATTTTGTCTCCAAAATTACGAACATCTGAAAAGATTACTTATTTCTTTCCATCGTAACTACATAGTGACACTGAAACTTTTACTATCACTTCATCCAAGATGCTGAATAACGTCTCTGTGTAGTTTAAGACAGAGTTTAAGCTTTTCAGACCTGCTTGTCCCGTTACACAAGTGCCCATCATGAACCCTTACCTTTTGGAAAATGACATCATCCTGCTTTCTTTTCTTTTTGTTGCTTTTTCTGATCCTCTGGTTTGTCTGAATCCATTTTGTGACCTGCAGTTCAAAACCATAGCACTTTTTTAGGAAGAAGATGCGACCTGAGTGCAGCTATTCAACGTTAGTAAGAAGCTATAAACAGACTCAAGACAATTTTTTCCATTGCTTCACTTGAAAAAGCACTTTCCTTGTCTAGAATAACATGGTCTTAGTAAATCTGGTTAGGTACTTGTGCATGGTCAAAGTGTGAAGTGGTAATTCTTCATCTTAGACCTTTAAGGTTTTTTTTTTCCACAAAGAACGTGTTTGACGCCAGACCAGGTTGCCAAATGGAAAGTTATCATTTCGGTGTGCAAAAAACCTGGGGAAAATCTCTGCGCTTTATCCCTTACACCTTCTATTTCAAGTAAGAGGTTTAATTCCAGCCACCCACTCAAAATTTTGTTCCAGACTAGCAACGCCAAATTTAGATGGTGGAGTGTTTATTATTTAATAAAGTAATAACACTTGGGTTTCTTCTCCCCATACAAATAGTTTTAATCCAAATACAAACGCAGTTATTTTCTTAAAGCGAAAGCGCGGCGGGGGTGGGGAGGGGGTGGCAGGTGGAAAACTCAAGGAGCAGATTTGCAAAGGAGAGGAGCGGGGGCAAGGCAATAGCTACGAAAGGTTTTCTTCTCACCTCGCCGCTCACTTGCCGGACGAGCTGACACTCCTTCCAAGTCTCGCCCTCCTCCAGCAAAGGCTGCACGGGGGAGAAAGCGCACGTTGAGGCGGGCTCGCCCGCAGAGGATCCCCGATGCGCTGCGCTCCGCTCCCCGGGGGCCCCGGGACGGGACGGGACGCGCTGGGGGAAGCCCTCCGC